ATACAGACAGCAAGCATACAATGGGTTGTTTCTTTATGATGCCAAGCTAACATGGCAATGGAAAACATTAAAGTACATGCAGAACTGATTGCTTACCTAAGACATGATCAGACTAAGCTGGAGATGCTGGCTTTGTATATAGGCACATTCACTTTAACATTTTACAGAATTACATACAGTTAGAACACAAAAGAACAAGCTGTGCACAATCAAACAAAAAATACTATGCCACGTGCTTCTTTGGAAATGGACATTGTCTTCCTGCCCTCTAAAAACTACAAACAATTACATATCATAGGAGATTTAAATTAGTTTTAGGAAATTATTTCTATTACTCCAGTAAAATAGTTTTATGCTCAGTATTTGTCCTTTAAAATATATGAACTTTTTTAGAACAGGTTTCACTTTGAGCATGAAATTCCAACCATCGCCAGACATAAATGGAACTTGTCATATTCGCATCTTCACTGGATGTCCGGGGCCACAAGACCCGCTTTTGATATCACACCTTTAACCACAGCAGAAAAAAGTACATTATAAATAATACAGCCTCCTCACAAGCCTGGTGAACAGCGAGTGCATGCTCAGCTGATACCAGTGATTCATAGACTTTACTGTGTATGGCTGTCCTAACACATCTTGGGAGCAGACATAATCTCTCAGTCGTGCCTTCTTTCTTCTTTTTTTTCCCTGTGAGTTTCGTCTTTTCCTTTCTCAGATGTGGTCTTGATTATGTATTGCCTCTTAAGTAATTTCTTTGAAGCTATCATGACCTGTAAAGTACACATGCCAGTGTGGATTTTTGATGCCTGCACTGTGTTCTTGCTCTGGATGTATAGACCACCTGGTGAGTTTTGATCCCCAGACTAGCTGATAAGTCTTACAGGCCAGTTGCTGATGCACATGCTTTGGATTGGTTATACCACAGGCACAAAATGGTGCTGCTTGAAGTTCTTCTTGTTAGTGGTCAGTGTGTGAATTTGTTAGGGCACCTTCAGAAGGAAGGATCTTTAATACAACAGAATAATAGAGAGTATATTAAATATATTTAACAGCTCATGCTGTTGGGTTTATCCTGTTTCCCTCCAGTGCTCCCCCCTCCAAGGATTATCTTCAGCAGTGTTTCTGGCAGATGTCTGCCAAGCCAGAAACAACAGCTGTATTGACTTTAGAAGGAATATGCTCATACCTTTCTTGTTGAGATACAGTCCCCTCTGAGTTGTTTGTGTTTCAAAAATAATAAAGGGCATATCAAGATTTACAGATGAACTAGAGTATCGATTCATAATGCCCAGGGTAGGTCCAATCCTGTGAAGACTTACACGTGTCACTAAATGTATCTATGAAAGCAGCACCAAAGTATCAGTAATACTGGTTGGGCAAATAAAGTTATCTACATTATGTACTTGCAAGATCAGTCACTTTAGTTTCTACAACTAGTAACTGAAAATAGCTGTTGCTATGCAAGAAATAACCACTTCTCTTTAGGTAGCTTAACCTGGGTGAACTGAGGGGTAATTCTGGGGACACTTTCATGTTCTTCTGTTCAAGAACACACAAATGAACTGCAAATGTCAAAATGCACAGAGGCAAGATGGTAAAAATCACCAGAGTGCCTTCTTTGAAAAAAGAAACTGAAGCATCTTCTCAATAGTTCATGAGAATATGGGATGTATAAAATTAATAGCATTAAAAACTAGCAGGAGTGGCTGAAGGTCAGTCAGCACAAGTTCTTCAATGACATAGGTGCGCAGAGGTTACATACGGCAGCCAGGGAGTTCATGGCTGCTGGGGCAGTCCTGCCTCCCCAGGATCAATTGCAAATCACCACACATTCAGGTGTGTGCAGTGTCACCATCTTACCCACTCTCCTCTAAGACCTTCAGCATCCTGGGACCCTTTGAGGGACCATCACTGAGAGAGAACATACAAAGTGGGAGATCTTCCTGTTAATGGTATTGATGGGTAGACTGGATGGGGAATGGCTTTTTGTTAATTAAAAGCTCATTAACTGAATACCAGCAGTATATGGTGTCTGAAAATAAAGTGAGTCCAGATATTGAAAGATTGTTGATGCTGTGCCACTGCTCCACAAAACCAGAATCTTGTGTTCTTTTAGGACTGGCCCACGCATGTAGTCCCTAGCACAGTTTTAGTACTGCCAAAGCAGTTTTTTAATGCTCTGTGAGCTTGTGTGTGTGTTTGTGGCCTGAACCAAGACCTACCCATGCTGAACGTGTGTGATCACACGTACAGACGGCTCTTGGCCTAGGGAGTGTTTGGACATGAGGTCAGTGATCATACAAAGATACAAGAAGTTCAGCGTCCTATGAACACAGTGAAATGAAAGACTCATTATTGCGTGAGCTGTTCCATGCCTTCCTTGCACCTGCTTTGGTGGATTAGACACAGAAGCTGCTGGCATTTCAGAAGAAATCAGCGCAGTTTGGGCCTGGATTAAAAGCAGTTTTCACTGATGATGAGTTACCTGGTAACTCTCTGCTCAGCCCTGACCACTGTTGTCCATAGTGTGGCAAAGTGCAACAGTAGAGGACTGTGAACAAGGGAAAAATCAAACCTCGAGGTATGTGGAGCAGAGGAAGAGAGGAGGAAAATGAATTTCCAACTCTGTAATTCTCTATTATTTTAAAAAACAGCACGATCTCATATGGGAGTGATTCATATTGAGTCTGAATTCTCAGATTAAAAAACAAACCCCGAGAGAACCTTCCCTCTTGGGAAGTCTGTTTTGTTTCTTGAGTGCTTGTTTAATTGAAGTTCAGGTCAGCAGAAGAGAATCTTTGCTTACCAAAGCTGTGCCTAGTACTCAAGAGTTTTTCTCCCAGATATGGGTTTAGACTCTGAACAGTCATAAAGCAACTGCACATGGGAATAGGCCATGTAAAAACATGTCTCATTACAATCTCCATGTAGTTCTCTTAGTGCCAGCTTTCCACCCACCACACCTTTCTTAAGGGAAGAGCAAGGCACAGACAGAGTTTACCATTTATCAAGACTATTGCAAAAACATGTTCTTTTTGGGGGACAAGTACAAAAGAGATGCCATGGAAAGAACTGTGCTCTTAAAGCTCTTAGTCCTTAATGTTTCATTTAGGGAGCTCTGAAGTACTGTCACAGCCAAGCTCTAGAAATCTGGTTTCTAAGCACAGCAAGGGGTGCCAAGCTGAACAGTCAGCTCAGGGGCTTGAAGGTAGGATCTATTTTAAGCTTTCAGTGATCAGTGAGAACATAATTTAATTTGCAGAGTCACCATTTCTTGTGAAGGTATAAATCCAGGGTGTTTAAGTAATGGCTAGGTAGGGTCATGTGCCTATGAGGCAGCTAAGATTCCACAAGGATGATCCACAGAGGAAGTTTTGCATTTTGAAGTGAGGTAGGGGGAAAAAGGCTCTAACCAATGATTGTTATCACTACTGATTGGGAAGATATGTGTTCACATTTTAGTAGCTGATGCAATAGCACCAAGGGTCATTCTCCATATCCTTGTATCATACAAGTAGATGCATTATGTGGGCTTGAAGTATAGCTGTTAGACCATGCTGTGGAGACATGATGCCTAGAGGAGCTGGTATAATTTTGATACCCTCACAGGTCTGTAGTACGCTGAGCTGTCTTTATGCATACCGTAAAGGTATTTGTGGAGCAGGTGTTTACCAGTGGGTAGATATAAAGACTACTCAGTCCCAAGGCATTGGGAATAATGGTGTTGGCACTCCCTGGTGTAGCTGGTGTGTAGAAACCTGTAGTCTGTACTTTGAAATGAAGCAGGCAGATGATGGTTTAGCCCATGGTACAAAGAAATGGCTGTGTGTAGGTAGTACCAAGACAACTTCAAATCTTCACAGTTCCCCAGTGTCTTCCTTCTTTTTGTTCTCAGCTTCTTTCTACCTTTGAATCCAACTGCTTTTGTTTTACTTTGGATCCAACTTCTTTTGTTTTAGAGCACAGGGACAGTTGGGCATTTAAAATCTTATCTACTTTTTCCACATGCACTAGCTGGTCTAACACAGGACTATACCTCTGTCATCTCTGCCCTGCTTGTGATGCCTGGATCATCATGTCTGCAAGAAAATTGACTTTTTCCTCTATCCTAATTACGTATCCCACAAAATGCAGCAAAAACGAATGGACAAAGGAAATTCCAATCTGGAAAAAAATGAGGATAAATATCCCAGGTATGGCCTGTATTTTCTACACAAATAATTATTTTGGTTTTGGTTTTACTTAACGCATGGTGTTGGAAATGTGAAATCATATTCAGCAAAATCAAAGAAAAAAAGTTTTGCACAAGTTTAGTTCCTGAGCCTCAAACACAAATTCCTAATATTTTCAAAGCTCTTTGGTTTTGTTTTCTTTTTCCTGGGCTGATTTTTTTTTCCAAAACAACTTTATGATTCAGCTCATTTAGTTCCTAAAACATGTTGATTTTCACAATCACATATTTAGACAGAACCCAATATGACCCAACGCCAAGTGGCCTGAGAAACAGGCATTTCTGCTATCTAATATAATCACAGGAAGAAATGAGGAAGGAACCTCATGAGCTCTGCAAAAATGCAAGAGAACTCACTTGACAGACTGACCCAGCCTTGCTACCTTGCTCCCCTTCCATCACTTACCGGGGCTTCGTTATGGGAGGTACCAGGAGGTTCACCATTTCCAGCCATCAGTCCATCTGTGTTCTCCTTCACTTGGCCTGGGGGATAATACACACTCACCTGAGTGGTCCCACCATATTCCTGAGGCAGATCCTCTGCATACCTGTAGAGAAAATAAGACATCACAGTGTACATGCCCACTCTGGGTACAAAACCAGTGTTCAGTTTGGCAGATACAGCACTGCTCCACAGTGCAAACAGATTTTCTTTCTTCCTTTCTTTCAAGCATTTAACTGTTTTTGTATTGAACTCGTGTGAAATTACATGAGCTCTGATCATGTGAATAATGCATGAGATTTAAGACAAACACATGAAAGGAGCTTATTTTTCATGTCAAACAATTCTTTATTTTTTATGGTACAAATTAAAAGTGACAGATCTGAAGCTGTTAAGAAATACACAAAGTGCAGCTTTACTGACCATACAGATATTGCTCTAGATTAAGTACAGTTTTTGTCAGTTTTTTTATTTTTTATGTTTTTTTCATGTTAAGCAACCTGTGCAGATAAATCAGCTTTGGTTTCAAAGTCAGAGTAGTAAGGAGCTTTTAAATATCCTGTTTGGTTTCTTGGTCACAAGTCCACCACATCAACTCCTTTTTGTAGTTATTCGTATTTGTTAACAACACAATACAGTCCGTTTTGTACTGCCATCTTTCCTGCTGCATGCTCCATGCATGGAAAAACATGATCTCTTTGCAGTGCTTCATAAGTGACCCTGGTGACCATTCTGTAGATTATAGCACATAGGACAAAAATAATAATAATAATAGTAATAATAATAATTAATAATAATAATATCACTTTTTAACAATAAATAAACAGATGTGCCCCACATAATCTCAAGTTGGAAACAAGCAAACCACATGACAAAAAGCTCATTACAAAATGTTTTCCAAACAGATTTTACAGTCAAACATTGACATGGAAATCAATTTCCTCTCTTAGCTTCTTATTTGAATGTTGGTCAATAACTGGGTACAAGTAGAGTGCTGAGGTAAAACACTGATGAACAGTTTCATTTTTGTAGTTCTTTTCTTTTTTCTTTTTTTTTCCTTTTTTTTTTTTTATAATAGTAACAGTTTAGTATTGCGAGATTGTCAGCAACATTTAGCCATATCTATACAATGTGCATATACCTACATACATTGAGCTTTGGTCCAGCATTGAGAAGACGAGCAAAGGCATTTTACATATTTCTTTTTGGTTATAGCTTGAGTTCTTTGATACGCCTCTACTTGTTCCTTCCTAGCTCCTTTTTGCTTTCTTGTTCTCTCTTTTTTTTCTTTCTTTCTCTCTCTCTCTCTTCTTTTTTTTTCTTTTTTTTTTTTTTTTCATTATTTTTGGTAATAACATAAAGAAATTGGAATCATTTGAATGCATCTGATTTCTTCAACTGTCCAAAATAGCTTTTTTAGTGAAAAACATAAAAAGACAAAATCAGAACAGTAAGTGAACCCTTGGTTCATTCTTCAAATAATAATTTCATATATATATATATTTAAAAATTCAATGATCAATAAATTGGAAAACCATCAAACCTTCACATATGACTGAAGAGACATTTGTTTCATTTGCTGGTAGCAATCTATCTTTTAGTCACATGCAAAATTAAAAGGTATTCAAATGTAATCGCTACATGAGAATTGTTTACAAATGGGAACCAGAAATGTTGCAAGTAGCAAAATAAAACACAATATTTATGTTCCCCCCTCCCCAACCCCCTAGATGTCCAACTCACACGTAATTTATCTTCCTAAGAATCTGTTCAGGCACCATTTATGCCTCATAGCAAAAATCTGTTTATAAAAAAATTAATATAAGAAGCATTACAACACCTTAGAAATAATTTACAAAACATAATACAAAATTAGAAAACTGTAAAAAAAAATCACTGCACATGAATGGTTTTAAGACTGTGGGATGAACACTGGGTTTTTCTTCCAAGCCGGCGGTTTATATTTACCTTACATTTTCCCTGCCCTACTTATAGCCTTCCCATATGTACTTTGGAACAGAAAGGAGCTTATGTAATTGCTGCCAGTGTAGTTTTAAACATTTAGTATCTTTTCTATGCTGTTTAGTTAACTTTTGTTCTTGGGGGATTTCTCCTCACAAAATTTAGAGCAGTCCCTGGGAGAATTTGAAATTCAGTTTTTAGGCAAAGACTGGTTGATGTTTTTGTTCCCAGGCTGTTGGAGATGGGGGTGTACAAGAGGAGGTGATGTACAGTCTCAAGGGTAGCTGAACAGGTAATGGTGTATACGGCATTAATGACTGGACAGTTACCAGCGTGCTGGAGACATGGGTAGGACTTCAGGAGCATCCGCTTCCAGATATGATCCGTTCTTCGTTGATTCCCTGTTGGCTTCTGGGTGCTTTCCTGAACGTTATGTAAAGTGAGCTGTGGCCACAAGTTTAGGGCTGTCTGGTATAGATAACATAGACAGATCTGCAGATATAGGTATCTATGGATACAGAGGGAAAAAAGAAAACCCAAAGAGGCAGATGTTGTGGTACAACTCTTTACTTCATGTGCTCAGCTTGGGTAAAGCATCTTTTTTGTCTCTCACAATTTGTCTGTGGTTACTGAGATTTTTTATTCCCTGGCAGATATTTATATATCAACAGTCGGAAGAGTCAATAAAAATTCTCACTCTCCTCCACATAAAAGCAATACTGAAAATATCCTTAAACATACCCTACTGAAGCTTAAAGCCTAAAATGCATTCGCTGGACATGAGCCCAGCCCAGAGTACTGGACCCTCAGTGCTCTCCAACTCTGACCTTTGAGAGTGCTCACATTTAGAGGCAGTTTCTGGCACAGATGATGGTCTCTGAAACCTTAAAGCTCCACCAACCACGCCATTCTACAAGGCAAACCCCATTAATAAAGTAGCAAGGCCGGATTCAAAGCCTAGTGAAATCAATGGAAGTCCCTTTCTTTCACTTAAGGTTTGTATACAGCCTTGATTTCTCGAGAACTGTATAAGAGAGATGTTATTTGAAGACTCCAGCACTTTGGGAACATCCTTCAACACCCTGCGCAGACCAGCAAAAATCCAGTACAACCATCCTGTGGTTAGTGAATGCAATTAGGAATTGTACCAGCAGAATTTTACTCTGCCACCTCTATAGTGAGGTGAACCAAATCCCCAAAGTACTCTTTTGGAAAGTCCTGATTGAGATGCAGCTTCTACCCTAATAGCGGGCTGAACCCCAAAGGCTGAAGCAGAACTCAGCAGAAGAGGAAAACTGCAGGTGACATTCACAGGTCAGCCCATACCCCATCAAGAACCTGCAACACCTCTCTGTCCCTCTGAGCCTTGATATACTCATAGGTCCAATAATCACAGTAGTTTAGAAGATGTTTGTCCAGTCAAAAGAGAAGCCACAGAGATACACTGTCTTTAAAGGAAAATCAATTCACTTGTTACATATTGCAGGTGGCCCACCTTACAATTCCCAAAGGAGATTCAGTGGGTTTCTCTATATCCTGATAGCTTAGTCTAGCCAGTGGTCACAGCAAAGACCTGGAGAAACACATCCTCCTACTGAAGAGGACAACAGGGCAAGCATCAATATCAGATGACATTAAAAATAAAAGCAGAAGGAACAAAGCACTACCACTGAAACTGTCCATAGTGATGTAAAACCCAAAACATCCTCATCACTCCTCGGCCTGTTCACTTGTTTTCAGCAGAATCTCAAGAAATTTCTTTGGCTAGCAGACTTTGGAGAGAAATTGCTTCAAACAGAACCGTAATAGAGATGCAGTACTGTACCAAGTGTGCAGTTTATAGTTATACTACAAAATGAGTTTTGGTAACCTCTCCAGGTTCACGGCCAAAGGACAGAGAAATCCCAAGCTACCCATTCAACAAGAAGCACAATGTTCAGCATGGGCTGACAGTTCATCAGACATAATCCTAATCCTTCTTTGTCCTCTATTGCATTTCAGCATATCAATATAAAAGTGTTCAGATTTCACTTTTCCTTTTAAAAATCTTCAAATAGTACTGGGTTATATGGGCTTGGGAAGGGGAGGCGGGGGGGGGGGGGGGAAGTGAGCTGGGAGGAGGAGGCAGCAAAAGAAACCAGAGAAAAGGAAAAGAAATGGAAACCAGGACATACACCCTTAGAAGAGAAATACCAAACCCTGCAAATCACAATAAAAAACAATTAATTTTGGCACCCAAACACTCGGAGAGTGCAAAACCTAAAGAAAAGGAGGTGACCACTATGGAATGGCTTTAACCCCTGTTTGTACACACCTGCAGGGGGTGCGAACAAGGAAGGATGAGAGAAATTAATCCTGTTGTTTTCCTGTTTGCAAAATACAAATGTAAAAATTCATAACACAATTGTACACTCATAAAAGAGTAGATTAACAATCTAGTTTGCAATGCCATATTTCTGACTTTGGTTAATAGTTTTCATAGTGAATCAGCACTTGATACCTGAAAGGCTACAATCACTCCTCCAGGTGGCAGGCTTGTATTCTCTTTTAAACAGATAAAAGTTTTTTTTGTCTTTTTTTTTCTTTCATTTTTGTCCTTTTTTTTTTTTTGTTGTTTTGTTTTTCCTTAAAATGTGTTCATATTTTCATAATATACAGAAAAAAAGTAAGCAGTTATTTGGTTTGCTTTTAAGTCCATTTAAAAAAACTGGCTTTTTTTTTTAGGAGGGGAGGAACTAATTCTACAACACGCACACACACACACACACACTGAGTGTTGTGTAGTTTTTCATTTAGTTTTTTAAATAGGAAACCCCATGGACATTTATAAACTGTTCTGTCCTTCTTGTAGTTTTCTCAGTCTTTTACTTACAAGGGTGATGAACAGGTATTTTCACAGAGTTCAAATGGTTACGTTTCTGTTGGTGCAGGGGTTTTGTTTTGTGTGTGGTTTGGTTTAGTTTTGTTTTTAGGAGTTTTCTTCCAGAGAGTCTGTTAAAGGCTCCATAGGAACTGCTGTCGCAGGCTCGTGTTGTTTCAAACGTTTAATTGTGTTCTTCAGTGCTTGCCTCTTATTGCAGAACCAAACTCTAACTACTTCCCGGTCATAGTTCAGTTTCTCTGCAATCTCTGTCATTTCTTGCCCAGAGGGGTGCGTGTTCTTCTCAAAGTGGGCATTCAAGATTTCAAGGGCTTGTGGCGTGAATGAGGTGCGCCTCTTGCGCTTTTTGGATGGTTCGCTTCCAATAAACTCGGTAAGGTTCTGCATACCTGCTCGATGGCGGGCCTCAGCCTCAGCCATCCACCGCTCAAGCACCGGCTTTATCTTCTGGGCACTTTTAGGGGTGATGTCCAGCTTTTCAAACCTGGCAGGATACAAAAGGCCAGGGTTCAGTTTGGCTGTCAGACTGCTAGCTATAGTGTTCTCTTGGGCTTCCTGTGGTAGGAAAAAGTGGCTTCTCAGGATGGTGTGTCTGAGGGAAAATTGAGAAAGAAGAGTCTTACACTGATGCTCTGCCAGGGTGGGACTTCCTGCCTGCCTGACTAATTGACTGGCAGAGGTAATTTACAATGGATTACGAAAACTAGCAGATAGGTATATCTATAAATATATATATAGCTACATATTTCAGCTAACACAAAACGAGCACTACAACAAAATTTTAAGTATACTGAATAATACAGGTTATGAGTCGCATTTTCATATTTCATATTTCTGTGATCTCTAAAACCCTTAATGCTAAGTCTAATTACAGGAAATGACATCAAAGGCAATTGCTTTCTCATCTTGGCTTTCTGATTAATCCTTTTGTTTGCCCTCCCATCCCACGTTGTCAAGAAGCCACAGCTTTAATAATAGAAACCAATGGCAGTTACTAGCTTCTCAATATCAGGTTTCTTTTCCTTTCATTTTTCAGCAATTTTCACTGTTTGCAAGTTAACACTATATCCCTTTTCTGGGTCGGGAGAAGATTCCCATAGCTACGGCAGTGTTCAGCTGAAACAGCTGGACACTTTGCAATTATCTTGACTGCCCCCACAATGTGCAAAGACAGACTCATGTTTTCCAGATGAAACCCAGCATAATAGTCTACTAATATGCTGTGGCACCAAGCTGGGTTTATTGTGGGATTTCTGCAAACTGTACCAGAATGATATCATTTCCTGTAAATGAGGTCTCCTATATATCATTTTGCCATCAAAAAGTCTTCTGCCAAACCAGATTTTACAAGTATTATAAAACATCTGGAAAAGCAGCCACACAAAGCTTTAATCCTTTCAAAAACAAGCAAAGAGTCGAGTTCACATTTCAAGTCTTTTAAGTACTTGTTTCTTTCATTTACCGAGTTCATCCTCTCTTGCTACACATTAAAATCGTCTTAAACCAAGTCCTCTGACACCGCCCATCCATATCTCCCCACTTTGCCTATGTCCACCCCTCATGTTGTGGTATTTAATGTTGTGCAAGGACAACAGTTACTGTGTGGTGCTGTTACACACTCCAGCCCACCCAGTGCTGAAGCACTGCCGCTGCTAATCATAACATGCTCTGGAGATGAGAACAACCAAATCAATGCCTTTGCGCAAAGCAACCCAGTGACTGGAGTTGGAAGTTTTTACTCTAGCAAAAAACAGAGCATTTCTTACAAACACAGAGTAAGATAAGGAATACTTTCAGAAAATAACACTCCAAAGAATTTGTATCTGGTGCCTGTGATCCTAGCGTAGTATTGACTGCAAGGTGTCCTTTGGTGTCCATGATATTTCAGGCTGAAGCGTATATTTTAGAACACATGGTCTCAAGCTAAGAAAATGCTGTTATTTGCCTATGCAGAACACATCAGCAAGGTGATATATTGCTGATATGACATGCACAGGCCACCAGGAGACTCTATTCCTGTCTCCAACTTGGCCGTTCCACTTGCTTACCTAACTGCCCCTTCCATTACCCTGGAGTTCGTATTGAAACTCCGTGGTAACCACTAGAAGAAAAGTTAAACCTACTGTTTCTGAAGAACAGCATGCTGCCACTGAAGCAGCTTGTCTTGGTACTTAACAAGTCATCAATTGTTACCACACCCCAAAGTGATATCCATTTGGGGCAGTCAAAGGAAATAAAACAACCCTATAACCTTGCAAGTATTTGAGACCAGCTCCTACACTCAGTCCTCATGTTCTGAGCAATATGCCCCTCTAAGGAGCCCTCTGTAAAAGGTCTCCACATTCTGGGCTTTTGTTAGTCATGTTTGCACTCCATCTTTTTGGGGGGTTTTCGTGATAATCCATTAGTGGGGAACCCTTTCTCTTTGTAAAATTCAAACCCTCCGCAGTGGTTTTCTCAGGTGTGAGGTAGCTGGAGGAAATGAAAGACAGTAAACTAGACAAAAGCAGAGGAAACTGCAATTTATCACTTTAAAGCATCGTCTGTTAAATAGCAACTTAAGGCTCCACAAATTGGCAACTGCTAAAAACTCCACCCATTTTAGGTATTCTTCACCAACTGACCACAGGGAAGGAAAAAAATTAATCCTTAGCAACAGGGAGCAACAGCATTCATATCATTGGCATTGCGTGTTAGTGTTGATACTGCAGTACCATGTTGTTTGGTATAACGATATACAAGTCCTGAAACAAATTTTCCAGCAGTAGTATCCTTGTATAGACTGAATAAAGGTTATTTTCTACAGGGAGGTATCTTATAAGAAAAAACAGTAGGGGAGACCATAGAAGTGAGAGGATCCTATGGAGCTTTTTGTATTTAACAACAATCAATGGGTTTTATGGAAAATCATTGAGCAAAATGTGAGCTGCAAGCTCGCTACCCCATACTGATGTTATTTATAACCTTAGTCTTAAACTGCAGGAAAAGTACACTTCCGTTCTATGGGGAATACATTAAAAGTATAAAGAGCAGATAAAAAGACAGAGCATTTCATGGATCACCAAGAACAAAATCCACTTAAATGAGCTTAGAGCTGGTTTCTTGGCTTTCACTGATGGAGAAGAACTATAAGGCATTGCCCAAGAGGAAAAAGCTGTTACCTAAGTGTGTTTGTTACCTCATGCATAAACATGGGATCACTGTAATACACATACATGCATATACGGCGTTTGCTTCTAACTATCTCTGTCAAGACTGTGTTATCATTTCTTATGATTAGGGCAGATTTCTCCTTCTGCTTTGCATATATGAGTTGTCTGGATTTCTAGTAAACATTTGGGCAATAAAAGATGAATAGCTGCTAGTTTGCAAGACAGCAGGAAGTATATTTTTTTCCCCTTCTGAGTTGCCTAGGTAAATCATCATTAACATCCTATATGTGAAGTGCTAACCACAGTAATACAGGTTTTAACTTAGCAGGGATGCAGCCATGAAATATTTGTTCAGTAACCCTATCTGTAGAAAATGGCACAGTATGAAGAGGGTCAGCTGGTGCTTATCCAGCATCAGCAGGGTCTCCAGCTCGTCTAGTGAATTAAATCTCAATGCCAGGAACATTGTTTCTCGCTTGTTTAAAGAAGAAGGAAAAAAGCCCACAACCAACTAAAGTTACTTTAGGGGTAAAACAACAAGAACATTTTATCTGCCAGTTACCAGCATCATTGGCTAGTATAAGTCCCAGATCAAATAATACATTCTAAAGACATGAGACTCAAACACAAGCATGCTCCTTGCAATAACTGAAGAATTATTAAGAACAAAGGAGAGTTTATGATGTAACTTGTTACCTGCAGATGGCAGACTGGCTATAGGCTGGGCCTTCCGTGGCGCTTAGGGCTTGGCCAACTTGAGTCTGTGTCAGGCCAAGGGACAGGCGCCGGATTTTAAAAGCTTTGGCAAACTCTCGGATTTCTTCCAGATTCACCCCATCCACCTCTCCCGTGGCTGTCTGAGGATCTGTTGGAATATTTGTTTAATCATGTCAGTCCTTCATGGCACGTAAGAGTGGGCTCTATGGGTTTACACCAGCTTCCATCGTCAGGATGTTAATCTCTTTTCTTCTTAATATGTATCCCTTTCTCTTCTTCCCCAAACAGAAACAGGCTTGCCTTCGTAGGTTATGAGGCATGTTCAGATCACTAAAATTATAACTAGTTCAGTGTTTCCAGGTACTTTATTGTTGAACTCCTGAAAATGGCCAACTCACCTCAATAAGGGGGTGCCCGGGCTCCTCACTGCCATTTGTGCCTTGCAAAACCTTCCCCAGCTTGACATGTGGTGTTCCCTGTTTCCCCTTCTTATCACATACAGAAGGAAGGCTGGTGTTAATATATGTATTTGCAGCTTGTCGGGAGGGCTAAATACATGCACAAACTGCTTGGGCTTTTAATCTGCAAGCAGGAATTTCTGCTTTATCTACAAATAATGCCAAATAATGAAATTCACAAACCTTCCTTCCCTTTTCCACAATACCCAACCCAAACTGCCAGCCAAGCGTACAAAATAACCCAGCAAATGAACAAGCCCAAACAAAAAGCTGCCCTTAAAAACTCCTTAATTTAAAAATAATCTTTTAAAATATGCCCTTCTGAGAAGCAGCCTTCCAAGCTTTTCATTCTGCCTCCCATCAGGTTGATAATCAAGGAGCAGCAACATCAGCCATTAGGTTTTGGATGGTAATGCTGCACAGTTTTTTACTTTTATATTAGCCCCTCCGAAGATAATGCTTATGATGCTGTGAGAATAAATCTTTCCTTCCTCTCCATAGCAGTTTACTGACACAGAAGCCTTTGTCCCTGAAAGGGCACATAATAAAGCATGTCTACCACAGGAAAGCTCCTTTGGTGCTGGATAACTCGGTCAATTTAGGACTTATCAAGGGAAATGACACAACAGCTGGAGAATGGAACTTTTTTCCCCCTCCAAGCTACTGATCCCTGGCTAAATGAAAGCATTTGCCAAGTCGGAGACAGCATGGGACTGGGATGGTGGAAGATTTCAAAGTGTTGTGCAATCCTGCGTGTAGTGAAGCCGTTCTCCCAGTGAGACATCTCTATTGTTCTTCACCTCATTCCTCAGACTTCTGAGGTGAAGAGTTTGCAGCACAATAACCCATCAATTTCTGTAAATGCAAGCAGTTGTCCAAGGACAGTCTAGACTACATTACTATTCTGAACCCTATATGAGAGTGGCTCCTGCTAGTACTGCTGTAGCTAAGGGCTTATCACCATTACAGTAACAAAGCTTTTATTCTCAGGGGTTTATAAACCTGATGTAAAATTCCCTTATAATGGAAATGTCCTATGAGAAATCTTTCAGTCCAGTAATAGAGAGAGGGAAGAGGTTTTTCTGCTATCTAAATTTAAGCCTGTATCTATTTGTAGCTTGAGTGTAAGAAGCACATATAGCAATAGTATTTTAAAAATACTCATGTATGCAACCAGGGGCCACATGAACTATGCATACAGGTAAACACACACATAGGCTCAGTCTAGTCTTGACAATGCTTCACACTCAGAATCATCCCCCCTACTGTCAGTGCTGTGCTTGAGCTCACCTGTGCACCATACACGCATACAGTCATTCAGTGTAAAGCCAGGATGCATATGGTTTGCTTTTAAGTAGTCAGTGCTGTGACAGGGGACACTCAGGTTTGTAAAGTAATTGCCTTTAGGGGTGGGAAATTTTCCTGCTTACTACATACACAGTCTACCTAGAATCCCAGTTCTGATTTTCAGAGACACAGAATAGAGCTGAGTATCTGCTGGGAAAGGGGCTTCATTCTTACATAGCATCTTTGGGAAGAGGAATGTACTTACAGAGGTGGACCGAAACACTAAAGCCTTTTATCCCTGAACTCTAGGGAAAAGAGCATTTGTATCAGATCAGAAACACTTCTACTTCAAGTGTGATTCAAAGCCCTTTGAAATCTATAGTAGTCCCTTGATTTCTGTCAGCTCCATAAAACTCAAATAGTACCATGAAGACCACCATCATCATGTAACAGCACTGGCCTGTTTTACTCTATCGCCTTATAAAATGGCATCAATACATAATCTTGGACTCTGTGGACTAATACATACACATACCTAAGGATTTATGAATAGATAATGGACTTTGTTTTAATATATTCTGAGCTCTCAGAACACTGGAGTGTATAGTGCACTTCACATTTTAGGAAGAGTAACTTATTGAAGACTGTAAGTAAAGTGGTGTTTTTTAAATTAACTGGATATCCTAGGGAAGGCAGCACAGTGCCAACAGGAAAATAAAGAATACCAATCTCATTGAGTGGTAGTGATCTACAATAAGAACATTTAAAGACTCCCAGTGTACATTATGGCTGTTGCGTCAATGAAACTACTGACTGGGTGCTGGAGAAAGTTGTCTGAGATCATTTTAGGGGATAAGTGTACATACCCCCTAACAAAAGGGAAGCACCTAAAATTCCCCCAGATGTCCTGGTGGATGGTGAATGTGGATGAGCAGAGTGGAAGAAAGAGAATCCACAGGCTCTCCTTCCGCACTGAAACTCCCTTTTTTCCTGCTGAAGGGAATAGTACTATTGCTTTTGAATTCTCCTGAAAAATCCCATGTGAGTTTGTTGGTGAGTGCAAATACGCTGTGATTTTAATAGTTAGGGGAAAGAGTTGCTACAAAGAAATCAGTGCACCCTGAAGGAGAAAGCAGATTTCTGTTGCACAGAGTTCTGCCATAGGAGGGATTACAGGGGATGATTTCCCCAGTCAGACAGGAGGAGAAATAGTTGGCAGAGGAAGTCCAATGGAAAGTAAATTGCATAAAAAAAAAGGCAGGACAAAACACTGTTACTGGAAAATGGACTGGAGCTCAGGGGAAAGGATGAAGAATAATTTGTTTGTGGAAGGCATTTTAATTTTATAGTAACAGATGATAGTAAAATGCATTTGGAAGGAAGAAAGGAACTTCATGGAGACACAAGTGTAAGAGCACAAGGGGAAAACAGTGATTTCCACAAAGAGAACATCCGGTAGAAATGTTAAAGAAACGAGCAGGGGGATGCATCTGAGAGGAGGAAAATGAAATGGAAAAAAGGAGGAATAATAATGTAGAACTGAATGAAGAGAAAACAAGACAAAAGAGAACAGAGGTAGAATGAGACAATATGAAGAAATCATACAAAAGGGACAGGAAGAGGAGAGATGAATCTTGCAGTCCATGCTTAGGCAGAGCTTCTTTTTAAATGTCCTTTCTTTGGAAACAACCATGAATTTTTGTCTTTAAAATAACTAGCACTTGTTGCTGGTGAGGGATGAAGGGGTGAGGATGAGATAAAAGGAAGAAGCCATAAGGAATACAGCAATCTGGAGGGGAGGTGGGGGGGGGGAGGAAGGTGAGGAAAGAAAAAAATTAAGGGGAATTAAAAAAAAGGAAAAAAATGCACCTTTTAAAAATAAGGAAACACGTTAAAGAAAAATGTAAAATCATAAACAAAACATGACTCAAATGGAAAGCAACACGAACACTGAAGTTATTTAAGCCCAATTTGATCCCTTTGTTAATGTACTTTAGTAATTTCCCTAATGTTAGGCGGCCTTTGTAAAGAGAGTTACTCTCTTTAGAGTAAGTGTGCAGCACCTTGCACCAAATAATTATTTACTGAAGTTATTATATTGTTCTAAGCAATTCCATTAACAGAATAAGGCAGCTGAATATGCCCAGTTTTACTTATTAAGTATTATACTTAGCAAAAAATTCTGGAATATGGCAAATCTCTACCAAGGTACTCTACTCCAGGGCTTCATCTGAAGTACCGGACTACAGCTTTGGAGCAAATGAGGAAAAGGAGACGACACTATTCCTGCCTCAGGAGCAGAAAAGAAATCAAAGAGATATTCGGGAAGCCACAAGTTGTTTCTTGCTGTCCTAATGCCTGTAGGTTTCATTCAGAACCACTGACCCATTGAAGGCTTCATCCCACTAAAAGACTTTGAATGGACTTTGGCAGATACTACATTTAAATTGCAGGCCTGTTAGACAAAGCTCTGCTGGCCCATGTGTGGGAGATGGGACATTAAGAAGGCTTTGTTCAGTTATGAGCCATAGGCTTGAAAAAGTGGTGCTCCTGCTCCTCAGGGATCTGCATCCATGAGCTGAGTGGATTCGGTAAAGGAGCAAAACAGGGATGACTTTCTGTGTATTTATTTCCCTGTGAGCAGGCGCAGTTGTATGAAAATGGGATTTTAGTCACTTGAAACCATTTTCAAATTCATGATGATCAACTAAGACCATTTGTCTAAAAATATGGTGCTACCAACTGCAATGAAAAGCTGTAGGGGATCCTGTCTGCCATGGTTCATTACACAGGTGGTTTGATCCTTTCCTGCTGAACTGACCATACTGTATTCCTTTCTATAGGCTCTTTGGAATGCTCTTAATATCTGTATCATAGCGGGTTAATTCCCAAGTGCAACACCTTCCTCAGTCTGACTGTATGGAGAGTATTTTCTTTACTCTGAGTTCCCTGCTTTGTTTAATTCAGCTTTCTTCTTTTTTGAGCAAGGGAGAAGTACCCAAACAATCTTCCCTGTGCCATCCATTATCTTAGATAGGGTACTATGGCTAAGAAGTTTCAGTTTCCTTACAACTTGAAGCACTGCCTTGATAGCTATCTCTTGTCAGTACTGGGCTTCTTGGCATCCCAAATTAAAATCTGTCTCCAACAGATCCAAGCAGGTGATCCTCTAAAACTCATATCTACTCAGTGGAGACTGGCTACAGCTCTGTGTGGAATTTTATTTAACATTTTGTCTGTACTGAGGATGCTTGAGTCTCAGGCTGAAATAGATGGCAAAGAACCCCCTTCCTATGGTTATGGCTCTGGCCTGCTTTGCACCAGGGCAGCAGTGAAGGCAGATACTGATTCGCCCCTCTTCTTGGTGATCATTTCCCACACTGATGGCTTACAGGGAGGGTGGGAGTGGTGTCTGCATGATGTTGATGCAGAGGGGCAAACATTAACCTTGTGTCTGAAAACAAAGAAATGTTGGAAGGGTGAAAACAACAGCTGAAGACCACTACAGAGCAGGGATTTGAGTCTGAAGTGGAGGGAGAGAGGGTCTGACTGTGCAGAAAGTAGTAATCACTGTGGTAGAGGACAGAAAACAGGGAAAAAGAGGGTGCATGAATAATAAAATAAGGTATAGGAGGACAGAAACTACCTAAAAAAAGGCTGGTAAAAAGGACACAAATATGGTCTGGGGACAGAGACTGACTGGGATGTGGAGGGGAACTGAAATGGGAAGAGGCGTTGAGAAATCATGGACTGCGGGGAAAAGACTGCAGAAGGAACAAAAAGAATAGAGGCAAAGGGAGTGCTGATTATGTGGAGAACACTGTGAAGGTGCAATGGGAGTAGAACAGAAGTGGTGGAGGGATCCAAGCCTGAGAGGAACAAGTAGAACATCTGTGTTAAGTAGTATATCTCCCCTCTTCCACTAATTGATATTCCTGTGCTGCATACTGCTCTTGCTCTCAGCCAAATCCATGACCACAGCATGTGTCTTATTCCTGTTAGAGCAGGACCAACAAGATGATAACTGAACCTATTAGTTTTTCTACCTATTCAGCTGACAGAAGATCTCATACTTCCAACTATGAATATAAGCATTATCACACCATATGACTGACTGACATTGCTATCCTGCTTTGTTACAACCTTGAAATTTACCCAAGCAAAAAATGGAGCTAAAAAAACCATCCTTAGAGCTGCACAAATAAACACTCAGAAGCTACAAAATATTGGAGTTACAGTAGCCCAACACAGTGTAGCACAGACTTTGAGCCCTTGATTACCAGATCTTTTTCCCCAGACTCCTGCCTCGTCCAGTGCACAGGATGAATTGTCTTTCATTACAGAGGAACTGATTGATGTATTGCCTTTTTACTTGTTCAGTGTGTGGCCCCAGACCTCTATTAAAGCTCTTCACCAAAGACACTTCTTGAGCTCCTCTGTTTTTCTAGATCTTAATTTATTTTCTTATGTTTCTACAAGATGAGGGTCTTCCCCTTCTCGTTCACACAGAAGTGGACAGATATTAAGGAAAAAGCATTTTTGGGTACCCAGTCTAGGTCAAGTAGCAAATTATTTTTTTAGACGGTGTGCTTAAATGGTTCTTTATACAGTTCCACAGTGAAAGTGCACTTAAAATTGTAAGTGTGAGTACCAGGTTCTTCTGTAAATTGAAGTCCAGAGTCTCAAGCTGGGTATTAAGAGAGTGCTTGTGAAAATCTGTTTTAAGTGACTTGCCTGCCATTGCACTGGAATCATGTGGCAGACAGAAAACTTCGGCTCCTGAGACCTCTACCACTTGAAGCAAGACCATCCTTCACCCTGCCACAGCTCCCTACCTCAAATGTTATGCAAACTGCGGAACAGGTTAGTGTATGCGATAGGGAACAAACCCTGGGACAACAGCCCACCTGCTGCATTACTAATTCTGATGCACCCCTAGAAAAAATCCGTTTTGAAAGAAGCACGAGAAAAACAGCTTGATTGTGTGATTTTAATCACAGTTTATATTGTTATTATAAAACACATGTTCTAAGAGGAACTGCATATGGTTGAACAAGTAACTTTTTCTAGCATCTTGTAAATTTTGGTAGAGTTGTTGAGTAAACTTAAAAGGGCTTCTTCCATGTTACTTTATTGTGTAGTGGATTTATTCACATGGGGAAACTGACTGGGATAACTAGTGTGGGGTGGGGTACCCCTCAATAGTTACTCTAGAGTATTATTTTAATAAGAATGTCCACAAGGGAGGCTATTCTGGACTAGCTTTTGAAAAGTAACTTATTCTGCACTTGCTGTTTTAGTCAATTTTGCCATATAGACAAGGGGTAACTTCGTGTATTTTTAACATGAAGCCTCTTATTTGTCTTCTTCCTACATAGAATGCTTGTCTACATGAGAAAATTTACTAACAGAGCAATAGCAGTATATTTATATCACTATAATTACATCTGTGTCTATATATTTTATGTACTTACAGCTACCAATGCAGATATTTTTATTCCAGAAGAGAAGTATTCACACTGGGAGTTATACCAGCATACATTTACCACTACAGCTCTGCTAGTGATTTCCCCATGTAAACAATCTCTGAAATAATCTAACCAGGACTTCTTTGACATCTTCCCTTGCATGACAGTTTCTCTGAGCCCTTCATAAGCTTCTATCAGTCGTATATTTTACATTACCAATGTGGCATGAGCCATAGCTTTTGTTTCCTTGAAATATGTACATGGAGTATCTTTGAACAAGGTCACCTAATACACTGGGATTCTTGCAGTGTACAAAATCTGTTAATGCTTCTTATATATACTTTTAACCTGTTGGGTTTTGCTATGTAAAAACCAAAGTTAATGCTGGTAAAGTAATAGCAAAGACTCTGAACTACGGAATCTGGAAGAAAGGGTTGCTGTTACAATCCTAACAACGAAACTCAGTTATTTCACAGCAGAGCGTGGTGTCTATCCTCTCCCACATGTTACAGTTCGTTCTTGTTTAAATTGTGCAAGCCTTTCCTGGCAGGAATGGTCTCTTGCTCTAGATTTGTGTAGTTGTAAAATGCTTTGCTACACTAACTGCAAGCAGACAAATAGTAACAAACTAGCAGCCTAAGCACAAGAAGAAGGATCTGGCTGCCCACCAAATTCTCTGAGCACTATAATTCATTATATTGACCAGTTCAAAACCTTCTCATTTCCAAAGAACATTAACTACATTTCAGTTACAAGAATTGCCCTTGCAAGAAAATGAACAGTTGCTACCATTTTTATGACCATTTTTAGCATTGATGACAATTTCTCTAGGCATGTTTACCTTAAGCCCCATCCATGCCAGCACTTAGCAGTTCCCACTGGTTAAGAGTCACTCTACTTAGCAACATACAATCTACTATATGAAACAAAAAAAGAAGGAGGGAAAGCAGATCAGGAAACTCAGAGTGATGAGGACAAACAGGGGAGAATTAAGGAGAGCCAGGGAGCAATACTTACTGCTGACTAACTGGCCAACACTCAAAGCTGAAGAGGAGGAGGATGAGGAGGAAGAAGAGGAAGCCTGACGCACTGGGCTTTGAGACATAGATGCTTGACTGTGAGCCAAATGCAGGAGATTGGATTGTGAGGCTGCTTGTCCCACTTGCGTCTGGGAGGGCTGATGGAGCTATATGTTAAAATGTAAAAATAGGTATTTAGAAAATGAAGCAGTAATAGGAAACTTTCAATGCACCATCTCACTCATCTACTTCTGGGGAGCAAATCTCACAGGAGCATTAAATACCATGGACTTAATTTAGGTGACAGTGTTACAGCAGGAGAAATCTGAGCTCTTTTGTATTCTGGCTCTCCATTTTTACTCTGTTTAACCAGATACTTAATCTAATTAGAAGGTAAGTATTTGTTTGAAATGGGTAATAAGAGACTATGACATTCACAGCAGCATTCTGATTTAATAAACATATGTCCTTACCTGTTTTCTGACTTGTGAAGTCAGACTTATTCCCTACATGGATTCTCATATAAATCAGCATTGGTTCAGAGAGGTCCTTTTATACTGCTGGACCAGGACAAGGAAAAGCAGATAAACTGGGGGAAAATCCCTTTCCTTTGAAAAGGAATAGTTTGGTTTATGACATTAGATCCAACAGATAAACAAAAAAAAAATCTTATTTCTCAATTGATAAATTGTCCTTGCCTAAAACACACAGTGAGCCCCATTCACATCAGGACTGTGTCGAGTAAGAGACACCTAAACAGTCCAACAGGTAGGACAGATGCAAATGATACACCTTGATACATGCATCTGCCTTTACAATTTTTTCCTTACAAATTTTACAACAGTGTAGTCTTTGGTTGTTCATTAGGGAAAAGGAAAGAACCATTAACCAGATTTCATAGGTGACTGAAAACATGCTCCGGTACTGATTGTTACATAAAACTCCCAGCAAATTCAAAGGGAAAGCTCTCTGCAGAATGAAGGTACGCAACTGGATATTACAGTTTTGAATTGGATTCTAGTAGTCCCGTCCATCCCTTTCAGAGCTTAATGATACAGTAATACAGGCTTGATACACTCAGGTGACTGCTACTTATTATACCTTTATTTTATGTTGATTCTTGATATTGATCAAAAAAGATTGCAAAAATGTACTAAAAGGCTTCACTTTTAAGTGATAGCTGTTATGTGCATTCTTAGAAAGGGGGAAAGATAAAAGGCCTATTTGCCCTTGCTGGAAGTCAGTAATTTAAATCTATTTCTTGAATTCTAAGGAGTACGAGTTTTTCTCTTTTGAGAGTTAACTGAATGAATGACTTCAGAGAAGGAACTGGATTCATTAGTAATATTCAAATTATATATCATATGCTCTCAGAACACATAGAAACGCCCGATACTAAGTACACAACAAATTGTACGCCACTGCAGCTAAGGGTATGTGACCACACTGCAGGTGACACTTTTCTGTGGAATACATATGAACCATTTTAATGACATCATTCCTGTTACGGATCTGTTTAAGAATGGAAGAAGTTACAACTCCTTTTTCTGCCTCCCACATGGAATCGTATAACACAAAACCAATCAAGAAACTTCGAGTTATTCTCAAAAACATTATTGAGCTGACCAGTGTTAACCTATTCTGACTTCCCTGGGCATCAAGAAACAAAACCACTTTATTATCTCAAGTAGTTTCTTGGGATCAAGCACATTTTCACAAAGAAAACCAGCATTTTGTCAAAGGAGCTGAGCTGACTGAAAGGCTTCCAGATTTCAGACTTGTGCAAGCACTGGGCATCTTTAAAAAGATTTCACTAAGGGCTGCATTTTATTTGTAGAGAGCTCCCAACCCAGGATGTCTACTTTGATAATATCATCTCCTAGGGAAGCAGCCCACTAGGAGGGCTGGCCTCTGAACACTGCAGAAATGGACTGCACATCCATTACACCCACATTACTCTGGACAGCAGCTTTCAGAAACAGGCATCTGGGCTCTGGGCCTGTTGTGCAAAGGAATCTGTGACAACACTGAGGATGTCAGCCTAGGCAAAGGAAGAAAAGTACTGTATTTAGATGAGTTAAGTGCTTTTGCGCTATCTGGAACAGTCTGAAAGATGCTAGTGCTTATCTCAGAGAATGGAGGAGCAAACTAGTAGCTATCTTTAAAAAGAAAGATCTGCAAAATTATAGTCCAGTCAAGTAAACTTCAACCCGTGGAAAAGTACTGAAGAAAATAATCACACAATTTGTAAGAAAACAAGGTAGCAACAGACAACATGGATTGTTAGGAACAAACTGTGTCAAACCAATCTGATCTCCCTCTAAGACAGGGTAATTGGCCGCGCAGACAGGGAAAAAGCAGTAGGTGGTTTGACTTTACAAGTCTCTCGACACTCCCTCGTGTGACATTCTTTATAACCTAGGGAAACATAGTTTAGATGAAATTGCTACAGAATGAATGCAAAAGTGGCTGGAAAACAAAACAGAGAGGGCAGATATCTATCCTTGGAAACAGAAGTGTGCATGTATGGTGCTTCACAGAACTCTGTCCTTGGTCTGCACTACTCAATATTTTCTTAATGACCTGGGTGATGGAGAAGAGAATATGCTTAATAAATTTACACATTTATCACATGCTGAGAGAGACTTCTTATAGGTTCGATACAGGATAAGGATTCAAAATGCTGCTGTCAGCTTGAACATGCCACCAGCAATCCTGGGGTTGCAAAAGTGAAGAAACCCAACTCCCATACCAAGCTGTGTGAGCAGGAGTGATATATGCAGTGCTTGTGAAGGATATTCTATTCTACTAAGCACTGGAAATACCTCTTGGGAGGGGTGGGGGGTGGGGCGGGGGGGCACCATGGCCAAAGCTAGATGCCACACTTCAGAAAAAGTCTGGATCAACTGAAAGAGTGGCTGAAGGCCTGGGAGTTAACTGAGGCTTACGAAGACACCTGGTCATGTTTAATATAAAGAAGGAAAGACTAATTGGGATATGATGCCTGCCTCAAATACAGGCAGAGCTGATGAAAAGAGGAATGAGTGACTTACATATCATAGTGGTGTGAATGGGGTACAATAACCTGGGAGATTCAAATTAGATGATGGGAAAAGCTGTCTAACATGCCAATGAAGCACTGGCACAAATTGCTAGGGGAACCTGTGGAGCTCCTAAGAGAGTGCTTAAGAGGAAGTTAGACACATACTGGAATAGCTACTGTGCCTGAGAACAACAGAGTGGACTGGATAATCTCCTGAACCTTGCCCTTTCAGCCTTAATTTTTCACGATTCTGTGCTATTTGCCATCAGTGTTTCTCAGAGAGAAATACATGACCATATAAGAGAAATATGGCAAATCCAACATTTTCCAGCCATGCTACACCTATAGTCCCTAAACAGTTCAACTGCTGAGCATGTGCACAGTAACTCTGAAGCTCCCAGGAAGAACCATAATGAGAGGGCATTCTGCATCTCCAGCTGTGCATGCAAAGTGTGTACACAGCCACTACCACTCCATAGTGCAAGCACAGTATGCTGGTTAAGTCTAGGAGATGTTTGATTCTCTGCACATGCATTGCACAATGCATTTGCAAATATATTTCTTAAATAGCTGGGATATCAGAAGCTTGGAAGTTTTCTTGTCAGAAGTCTTTGGACAAATAGGGATATGTCTAGTGATGTCTGGATGCACAGTGACCTTAGGTGCAATAGCCATATATAATGGATATTTACAGATTGTTGGTTTCTACCTCACTGCTTGTGAGGGAAAAGGGATCAAATGGGGTTGGAAAGGCTGAAGTCACCGTAATGGCTGACCAGGGACTGAGGGAGGATTTAATCTTTAACTCCCTGCATAATTTCCAGCACACCCCCTGTTTTACAGACATGACAGTTAAGCTGTAAATGTCCTGCTTAAAGAACAATGATAGTTATCTATGACATAAAATTGCATTAAAATACTCTCTCTTTTCATCCACTATAATTTCCACTCCAGAAATAGCCTTAAGGAGAGGCGATGATTAGATTATGAATTAGATTCTGGATGACAGAATCAATTGACACTTGCAATAGCTGACTTTCCCCAATTTTGGACACGTATATATGATATGAATTATGTTTATGACTATTGTGCATTTTCCGTCCAAAGACAGAAGGAGGCACAGAAATTACAGAAGCAGTTGCTGTAAGTGCCATTCTGTGTAGGTGGATATGGTAGACAAGCTGAGAATGATGACTATGCAACACTGATCAGTGTCTGGCAGGAATACATGTATGCACACTCCAGCTAGAGGAATAAGATGAATATGAGAAGCATAAAATGTAGTATAATATTTTATAGGAATGAGCTGAAAAATGCAAAAGGCCTGGTTCTTTTTTCTTTTACATCAGTTTTACATGCTGCTGTCAACAGTGAATGTAGTATCAATGGATAATTGCAGAGGCAATGCACGAATTAGGTCTGTAAGACTAAATTTTGTTCTTAAGCTGTGTATGTAGGATATTCCTACACCCGGGATGGTTAACTGGAGTCCTGTACTAAGGTGATCTTAGGAGATCAGGGATGTTCTTCACTGCATCCAGAAGGTTACATGATAGTGATAGAATAATAAGTTATTTTGCATAAGATAAGGCAAGAGAAAGAAACTAAGTTTTTGGATAATATTGCCCTGTATCATAACACAACTGCTACTGGTTTTACAGAAGGTCTTGACAAACAGCAAAGGCAAAATATGGCCATAATGGAAGGGAGAAGAAAGCAAAGGTTTTAAATTGTGGTAAGTGAGGCTAGGGTCAGGCATTAGGAAGACATTTCTAATGCTAAGGAGAGCAGCCTAGGTTGCCTAGGGATGTCAGGGAACCTCCATCACTGAAGGTTTTTAAGAACAGGTTAGACAAACATCTGTCAAGAAAGATACAGGGACAGTTGATCCTGCCTAGGGGGAGGGGATGGACTGCATGACCTCTTCAGGTCCTTTCTAGTCCTATTTTTCTACGATTCAGTGAAAAGAGAATCTGAGAGACGAGGAAACACAACAAATTAGGGAAGACAGAGGTGAAAAAGACAAGTATAACAAAAAGGACGGAAAAGATGAGTGCTACAAAGAGCAAGATATATGTTTTAAACAATCCCCTTTATATGACACAAATAAAGATTGTCAATTTT